GATGGCATTCCTTTTATTACATTTTGTACATCTGAAAAGTTAAAGATGTTACAAAAAACAAAAAGCTACATAGAATTACTAAAATCGCCCAAAACCATTCACAAAAAAGTAATGGATTATTCTGATAAAATAAGGAAAGAAGTTGTAAAGGAAATTTAACAGAACAAGCTCAATAAAAAAGCTTATAGCCTAACCACAGATGAATGGACATCAAATAATAAATATTATTATTCATGGATATGACGGTAATTTTATAATTTTAAATTGACTCGGATTCATGGATCCGCACTTGCTGAGGTATGCGCAGAACTAATTGAAAAGAAGCTTAAAGAGTTTAAAATAGCTTCGTCAAATATTGTGTGCATAACATCAGACGGAGCTGCCCTTAACAAGAAAACGATAAAGCTACTTAATAAAAACCATCAGTTATGTATTGCGCACAATCTACAATTAGAAAATAAAAGTACTTTATAATATTAGTTCAACAAGTTTACAAGATGTTAATGAACATGATGGTAATGTATTACTTAATGTTAATTCTGATAATTCCGAAGTTAAACTTGAAAATTTTGAAGTAGACCACGAAGACATTGACATTACCAAACTTGTTCTAGAAAACTCAGAGCTAAATTCATTAATTACAAAAATTCGGAAAGTTGTAAAACTTTTCAGAAAATCGCCAACCAAAAATGATAAACTACTGCAAAAATACGTTAAAGAAACTGTCGAAAAAGAACTTTCTTTAAATTTAGACTGTAAAACTAGATGGAGTAGTTTATTAAGCATACTGGAAAGATTTTCAAAACTTAAAGATGCTTTTTGAAAAAGTCTGATAAATTTAAAAATTGACATTGATTTTAATGAAAGTAACGTAAAATCTGGAAATGTATTCAGTCTGGAAATGAGATTACATTGATTATATTCAGTGATATATAGTGAATAATATATAACGATTAATAAGATTCAGTGAATATTTTCAACAAGTTAGATTCAGTTTGCCCAAGAGATTTATCTAGAAAGTGATGGACATTAGTGTTCGCACAAGTTAGCAGTTCGGAAGACATAGAAATTTGATTGATGCCAGCCGTAAACACCATAACAAAAGGAAAAAGCTATTATTAAAAAAAAAAAAGTTCTAATTTCTTCAGTAGCGGTTTCTCTGTGATTAGACCTGATGGTCTTCTTTGAGAATTCGCGTTCTTTATATTTCTTTTTTATACTTTATTTTTTAACAATATCTTGATTTGTTAACTTTTCTCTTATTTTATACTATTTGTATCTCTATAAATATTGTAATAAAGAACAAAAAAACGAAAAAGTATATATATCAGCAGTAAAGCCGTAGTTATTAAAACTATTGTTGACATTTTAAAAGATATTATGTACAATAATGTGGAATCTGGTGAGAGTATTCAAGGACACCTAAATGAATCAGGATTCGGGTTTAGACAACTACCTCATTACTATTAAACCAAATGCTGATTTTTCTTTGAAAGAAAAATTTCAAAGAAAAATCAGCATTTGGTTTAATAGTAATGTTTAATAGTTTGGTTTGGAAAAATTTTTTTGAGCCTTTGCATATAACATTTCAAAGACAAAACAATAAAAATAGAAAACTAGGAAAGTCAAGGATTTATTTAGACACTCCGGAGTTAGAAAATATTGAGGATCATCATTTAGAAAAAATTGAAAAAAGAAAAAAAGGTATCAATTTGAAAAACAAAAACGCTTTCAAATGAAACTACTCAATAAGACAAACCCAATTAATCATAAAATTTCTCATCAAAAGTTAAGAAAATTTAAAGAAGATAGTCTTGGTTAGGTTGTGAACTATCCTAGTCAATTCTTTTTACTTAACTTTATACCTCAATTTAGTAACTTCTTTTTGTTGCTCCTGGGTACTATTTTGATGCAAACTTTTGCTACTTGTTGGTAAATTATTTTGTACTTTTCACTTTGCATTTAAATTATTCCACAAGCAAACTTGTTTGAAGCTGACTATTTAAAATAAGACTTTAATTTACAAGATAATATTTTCAAAAATTGATATTTTTTAATAGTTTATAAGAATAGTTTATAAGAATAGTTTAACAACACTTAAAAGCTTTTTCTTTTAAACTTGTTACCCCTTAAAAGACTGTTGTTACGCTGATTAAAAATTTAAGCATAAAGAAATTCCAAATTCTTTTTTACACTTTATATTGTTTTTGAAAAGTATCGAGCAATGATTTTAATGACTATTGAAAAATAATTTGTAACTTTTAAAAATATAAAGAATATCACCACTTTTTGATGATTTATTATTTTTACTCATGTCTGGCGCACTTTAAGCACGATCCTTAATTTAAAAAAGTTTCTTAAATGTTTTTATTTTCTAAATTATAACTTTTTAATTAATAAAGAGGAGGGTGGAGATATTTTATTTTGTATATACGGATTTTGTGTAGGCAAAATGATTTTTAAAGAAACTCTCAAATAGTCGTTTTAAACATATAAACGCAAGTCGTTTTAAACATATAAACGCAAATATGTAATATCTAATTTTCAAAAGAGAAAAAAAAACTCTTTGACTCTTGTCTAAAGTGTAATGTGTAATTTCAAATACCGACATGTCGATAATCTTAAAAGAGAATTTAATTTTAATTTTTTGACAAATAATCATTATTTTTTTGAAAACACAAAACAACGTTCTGTAATGTGCAAGTTTTTATTTTCAAATTAAGTGAGTTGTCGCAGCATATAAAATTTTAAATAGTTTTAATTAAATAGTTTCACTAATTAGTAATTTTCAGATTTATGGTTATTAAGAAAACCTATATAGAAAAGATCATGTGTTGATTATTTTTGTAACAATTGTTTAAAAAAGTGAATTTTTTTTTTAAATATATTTTACATTTATTAGTCGTATTAAAATGAAAAGTGTTCTTTTAACAAAGCCACGGGTCCAAGTCCAAGCCACGGGTCCACGGGTCCAAGGCCCAGGTAGTATTAAAGCAACATTGCACAACATTGGACAGGTCTAATAATGTTTTACCAAAATAATAAATACCGGAACGCGTTAGGGTAGGACGAATAAATAAGGTAAAAATAACAATGCTGATAAAAAATAAGCTTATTTATTATCAGCATTATTCAGTATCAGAATACTTGTTTAGCACGTCTTTATAAGGTAGAAGACGCGCAAATTTTATACAAATTCATTGGGTCATTGTTGCGATTCAGCAACAGTCGATACAGAACAGCCGTTGCGCACTGGTTAGCGTACTAGCCTCAGAAGCTAGAGGTCAGTGGTTCAATGCCACCTTTAGCTAAGTTTTATAACATCGGTAAAGAAGGAGGCGTGAAGTTCGTTTTAAATGTACTTCCGCGGTGCTCTGTAATAAGACCGTTGTAGCGTTTTCAAATTGCGTTAAAATAATACTGAGGTAGTAATATTTTAACGTTAAAATTTTACTTCACTCGTTATTATTTTACTGATTTTTTAGTTTATAATTTATATTGCTTATTTTATCAAGATGTTAAAAATAAAAATGTTAACTTTATAAAAATATTAACTTTATATTAAAGTTCAATGATGTCAGGAAATATTTAAATGACATTACTTTTCAGGCATTAGACAACAGATATTGCCTCGGCTTATAAAGCAGCGGGGGATTTGTTAATGGAGAAAAGGAAAAATTTGCATTGGACACATTGTGTAACACACTGCATTGACATAATGTTGCAGAGCATCCTCAAGTTACCCCTCCATGCTTCTGTGTTCATCAAGGTCAAGAAAATAATAAATTTCATCCACGGTCATGCACGGGTTTTAACGATAGTAAGAAAATTTACTGGTGAAGATTTGGTGAAATCTACTGTTACTTGATTTGCCACTGCATTTCTTACTTTACAAAGCTTATTTGGATTAAGGGATAGACTTGTATCCTTTTTTATTTCAAAAAGTGGAAAACCATCTTATGCATTTCGATTATTGGTGAAAAATGTGCGCAACATGATTCTATAAAGCAAGCTGTTTTGGCCTGGTGTTGCTTATGTGCTCAACACAACAAAGTCCTTGCTTATAGCTCTTTGAACGGTGGATGTCAAACAATGAAATTTATTTACAAAGCTATGGACAGGGCAAAAGAAAAAATTGCTCAAAATCTAAATAATGATGTTGCAAAGTATCAGGCTGTTTGAGATATTGCGGATAGTCGGTGGGATTGTCAGCTTCACACGCATTTGCATGGTGCTACATATTTTATAAATCCTCATTTCCAATATGAATTTTTATTCTTTACTCATTATGAGATTAAATTGGGACTTTATTCTTGCATGGAGCGATTAATCGCTGATTCAGAAGAAAGGGAGAAAGTGAGATTGCAGATCGATTCTTTTCGAAATGCTCAAGGTTTATTTGGATGGGAAAATGCAGTAAGAACAATGAAGAAGAAAAGTTCAGGTGTGTGTTTTCACTATTTTTAGTATGTTAGTAATAATATCTTTTATTTCATTTTTTTGGTAAACCAGAGGATGTACCCGATATGGGATCACATCTCAATTATTTTTTTTTTTTACAATTTAATAAAATATTTTTTACAATTTAATAAAATATTATTACTATTTTCAGCGGAATGGTGGGGAGCTTTAGTAGATCAAATACCTGAACTTGCAAAACGTTCCATTAGAATCTTGAGCTTGGCTTGCAGAGCTTCTGTTTTTTGAAGATCCCCTTTGTTTGGATGATGCAGACTCTGGTGATGAATGAATCTCAGAACTCCAAGATCCTGAGATGGAGGCCTGTGAAGATCTTGATGCAAATATAGCTCTTGATGACCCTCTTGAAGTCGAAAAAGTTGAAGTATCTCAACATAGAAAGAAGAAAAAGAAGAAAAACAAGGTATAGGATGTTAATTTGAATAAGTTTTTTTATTTCTTTATTTCTACTTTACTGAAACATATATAATTCCATTAGGTTAAAAAAAAATCCAATTAATGATGATGAGGAGGATTTTCCATATGCCGAGAAGGAAAAAAAAAGAAGAGGTTAAATTGAATATTATGGATAATCCCCTTGAGGATCCTAATAGTAGCACAAGTTATTGTGACAATGGCGATCATTGATGGGTTATGACTTATGAAATTAGACCATGTTTATTTCGAATCTGTTGAAATTTGGAACTTCTATAATTTTTTTGGAACTTCTAATGAAAGAATGATTTTTCTTCAGTATTATTGAGCGCATTGCGCAGCGCATTGAGGCTTACGCTTCGCATCACATATAGTGAAACCGCCTCAATACGCCTCACGCTTTTTTAAACTTTAAAAACAGTAAAGGGAACAACACATTTATGAAGAAATACTTTCTACGTCATATTAGAAGAGAAAAGTAGTTCAAAATTGTATAGTTTAACTTCTGAGTGCTTCAATCAGGATAGATGTCAACGTAATCCCAAATTAATAAAACATCTTTTTTTTTCCGCAATTTTTTTAATCATAGCGTCAATATCAATGCTTTTCAAAAAGTCATTTTCTATGTATATTAGAGAAACTTGATATAAGTGACTCTGTCCAATTGTGCTACAAAGCTCATTTTTTTATTTGTTGAGGTTTAAAAACTGAACTTTTTTGTTTGCATAATTAGTAAGGGAGAGTGGGAAGAGGTGGGACATAATTCTAGTGTAATTTTAATATCTTTTTTATATGATGTATGTACTGCGCCAAACAAGTTTTAATAAATAAAGCATCATTTGTGGTCGTGGTGCAGTTATTAGAGTGCTTGCTTTATAAGCAGGAGATCCAGGATCGAAACGAGTCTTGGACTTATTTTCGCGTCACGGTAAGGAAAGAAGGCATGAACTTCCTGGTTAAATGCACTTCCGCAGTGCTCTGTGACAAGACTGTTAGGTCTTCTTGAGGCACCTAAATAACAATAAAAAAAAAATTCGGTCACTGATTCCCTCTCCTAAGATAGACAGCAGGTTATAATGAAGAAAATAAATTTTTAATTTTAGAGAAACCGTGACAATAGGGTAAAGTAGAACAGGTAGTGGGTGAGGTGAAATAACCAAGTAATTAACAACATATCAACAAAAATTATTAATTAAAATCTATTAAAATGATAAACCGCTTAATCTTCACTAAAATATTCAAGAGGTTTCCACAATATATTTACACAAAATTGTTTTGGGAACAATGGAAGATCGTTTAATTTTTTTGGCCCGCTCTACCCCTCGAAAAATCATTTTTTAGAGATACTTTTCAAAAATGTAGCTTTTTCCAAACGCAGGAAGACAAACCAATGTCTGCTACATAGAGAGCTATTATATCATTGTTTTCATTAGTTAATATTGATTATGACCATTCTTAATTAGAGTTTTGTGTTGTTCCACTTCTCACGCGTTCCACTTCCCTCAACTCTCTCCTAACCATACACTAACATTTATAGGATATATATAGGACATTTTCCAAATGTTTTGAATGAACTTTTGTGTAGTTTCAAACGTGTCTCGTGGTTTTGATCAGCAGCCAAAGCTTTAGATTTAAAAGATGATCAAAATCGAGGTTTTAATATTTATACTTTAGGATTTTGACATTTTTTTGTTTAGCGCATTAGAATCAATAACTTTTAATTCGCTATAGAATGGTAATAAATTTCCAATAAATATATAAAGTTTTGCAAATTTTTTTAATTCACATAGTATTAAGTCCACAATAAAAATGAATGGGTTTGTCTTCAATATTTTACTTTCACTAAAATGTTGTCATTTAATTTGTATTGTAAATCAGGACATCTGTCCCGCTAATAACTCATTTTTGATTGATGAGTTATGGAATTTTTAGGCTCTCAATATAGTAGTAAATTGCCTATCCGATTGTCTTTTAGCTTAATAAGCTCAAACTAAATTATATAGTAGCAACAGTTGGGATTCTTTTTGGTAACGAGTTTATCCATCTTTGAATTATGCTCACAGTAGTTTTTAGCCTGATTGAATTGTCCTTTAACTCTATATGCTAATCCTAGATGATTTTTAATGTTGTGGTAGAGTTTAGGTTGAGATTTATCATGTTAAATGAGATTTTTAATCTTTCGACTTTGCTTGCAGTAGTCAATCAACTGATTGTTTATTATATTTTTATAATAAAACAATCAGTTGAGGCTCTTTTTGGCAAATAAGTTAATTCATCTTTAGACTGTGTTCAAATTAGTTAATCACCTGATACTATTGTCCCTTAGTTTTATAAGCTTACCCTTGATTTGTAAAAGAAACAGCAACACCAGGGTGAGGTTAGTCTTCGTAGATGAGTTTTTGAATCTTTAAGCTCTATATATTGTAGCCAATTACCTATTGTTTTTTTTTTTATTATTATAAGCTAATTATAGAGTATTTAACAAAACAGCAAGATTATGGCAAGGTACATTTTGGTAAAATAGTATAATCCTCTTTAGACTCTTCTCACAGTAGTAAATAGCCTAATCATATTGTTATTTAACTTTATCATCTTAGATTATTGAAAGAAACAACGACATAAGATTGAGGTTTAACTTGGTAGGTGAGTTTTTATATACATAGCCTTTCTTTATAGTAGATAGTAGTATCCATATTTTATTTTAGCTTGATGAGCCAACTCTAGTTTATTAAATGATGCAGCCAAATTAGGGTATTTTTGATTTTGTTGACTTTTAAAATCTTTAGGCTCATCTTATAGTTTTTAATTGCCTGCTTCTTTTTCATTTAGCTAAATAAGGTAACATTTGATTAATAATTAAATTAGTAACGCTAGGGTGAGGGCCATCTCGGTTGATAAAATTTTGAATCTTTAGGCTCTCTCACAGTAGTTTTTTTTCTGATTATGTATATCTTTTCTATAAGCTAACCCTAAAGAATTAAAAATGTAGCTACATCAGGATAACATTAAGTCTATGTGTGTTTTTGAATCTTTGGGCTCAGAGTAGTTAATTGATCATCTTGCTCTTTTGCTAAATAAGCAAATCATAAATCATTTAAAAAAAAGCAACATTAAGGTAAAGTTCAATTTGTTAAATGATTTTTTGAATAATTGGACTCTGGTTTTAGTAAGTTATCATGTTGTCTTTTACATTTAAAGTTAATCCTAAGTTATTTAATGAAGCAGAAAACTTAGGTTAAGGTTTATCATGATGAGCTTATTTATATTTAGACTCTGCCTTAGAAGTCAATAACGCCGCTGTATTATTTATAGAAATAAAAAATGACCATAAATTTGGGTGAGTTTCATCTTTGCAGATAAGTTTATTTATTATTAGACTTTCACCGGAATATTTTATCGTCTAATTATATGTTTCTTTAGCCTGATAGACTTACCTGTTATATAAAAAAGTAACAAATATACTTTGAGGTTTATCTTGCTAGATGAGGTTTTCCATCTTTAGACTCTGTTTAAAGTAGTTATTTAGTTAAATTATAATAAGATGTACCAACATCAAGATGAGCTAGTCTTAATTGATGAGTTTTTGAATCTCTAGACACTCTTTGTAGTAGTTAGCTGCCTGATCATATTGTTGTTTAGCTTCATAAGCTAACCCAAGATTGTATAAACAAACAGCAAGATCAGAATTAGGCTTATTTTGGTTGATGGATTTAAGAACCTTTAAGCTCTTTTCATAGCAGTTAATTGCCTGATCATATTGCCCTTTATATTTATAAGCTAACCCTAGATTAAATAAAGTATTAGCAACATCAGGGTGAGGTTTATCTTGGTAGATGAAATTTTTCATTTTTAGGCTCTTCTCATAATAGTTAATTGACTGATCATATTGTTCTTTACCTAGATAGGCTGAACCAAGATTGTTCAAAGAAGCAGCAACATTAGGGTGATGTTCATTTTGGTAAATTAGTTTTTGAATCTTTAGACTTTCGTAATAATAGTTAATAGCTAGATCATACTGTCCTTTATCTTCATAAGCTAACCCAAGATTACTTAAAGATGTCGCAATATCAGCGTGAGGTTCATCTTGATAGATGAGTTTTTGAATTTGTAGGCTCTGGTCATAGTAGTTAATTGAAAGATCATATTGTCCTTTAGCTTGATAAGCTGAACCTAAATTGTTTAAAGAAACAGCAACCATAGGGTGAGGTTTATCTTGGTAGATGAGTTTTAGTACCATTAGGCTTTGCTCATGGTAGTTTATTGCCTGATCATATTGTCTTTTAGAATTATGAGCTAACCCTAAATTATTTAAAGAAGCAGCAATTTTAGGGTGAGGTTTATCTAGATAAATTTGTTTTTCCATATTTAGACTTTGCTCACAGTACTTTATTGCCTTATCATATTGTCCTTTAGTTCTATAAACTAACCCTAGATTATTTAAAGAAATAGCAATATTAGGGTGAGCTTCATCACGATAGATGAGTTTATTCATTTTTAGACTCTTCTTATGGTAGTAAACTGCTTGATCATATTGTCCTTTTGTGCTATAAAATGAGCCTAGATTATTTAAAGAGTTAGCAATATCAGGGTGAGGTTCATTTTGGTAGATAAGTTTTTTCATCTTTAAGCTCTTTTCATAATATTTAAATGCCTGATTGTATTGTCCTTTAGCTTGATAAACTGACCCTAGACTATTTAATGAAGTAGCAATATCATGGTGAGGTTCATCTTGGTAGATGAGTTTTTGAATCTTCAGGCACTCCTCGTAGTAGTTAATCGCGTGATTATATTGTCCTTTAGCATCATAAACAGACGCTAGATTATTTAAAGTTTCGGCAACACTATGTTGAGGTTCACTTAGGTAGATTAAATTTTGAATCTTTAGGCTTTCGTCAAGATAGCTAATTGCCTGATCATATTGCCCTTTATCACTATAGAGTGCTCCTAGATTATTTAATAATGCTGCAACATCAGGTTGATGTGCATCTTTGTAGATAAGTTTGTTCATCTTTAGGCTCTGCTCACAATAGTAAATTGCTTGATCATATTGTCCTTTTGCTCTATAGGCTAACCCTAGATTATTTAAAGAAATAGCAACAGCAGGGTGAGGTTCATTTTGGTAAATCAGTTTTTCAATCTCTAAACACCTCTCTAGTTGATTGATAGCCTTTTCGTTATTACCAAAGTTAATATATATTTTTCCTAAAGTATATCCTATTTGTAAATTATATTGATTGTTTTGGTCTTTTTTTGCCTCTTCTAAATTATTTTGAGCTTCCATATATTGCGCTAATCTAAAATGAATAAAGCCTTTATTAGTAAAATCATCTTTATAAAACTCAGTGTTTCGAAAAAAAACTTGCTTATTTTCATTAGTTAAGGTTTTGTGTTGATCACAAAACTCTTTTACTTTTTCATGTAAAGGTAATGCTGTATAAAAATATTGAAACAAACTACCTTGTTCTCCTAAATCAACTTTAGATAAATGGAATATCTGTTTAGTTTGTTCTTTAAGCTCAGATTCAGTTTCAGCTGGTTTGACAAATATTGACAAATCATCCTTCTGCGCTTTATTGTGCGAATAAGTCTTTATTCTCAGGGTAGTGGCAAAGGTTATGGCATATTTAAGATTAGCTGCTGCTTGTTGAGTAATTATTCCTTGATCCATTAGTTTATCTACTGTGTCCCACGCACTCTTTCCTTCAATACCATAATACAAACCAAGATTATACGCCATGCGATCAAGTAACCGGTAGATCTCCTGCTTCACATCAACTAATCTGCCTTTAGTATTTAATAAGTTAGGTTCTAATTTAATTAAATCACCTTTAAAAAACGTTTCTTTAGGCTTTAGATTCGGCGTTTTCTGAAGATAATCAAATTCTACCGTACCTTCTTGTAATATCTTAATTGCTCTCATCTCACAGTTTAATCTATTGTGTGGGTCTTCTATACTTACACTGTGCAAAAACATTGTAACTTTGTCTTGATAAGTTTTTACAAGATTCTCATCTCCATACACATAACAAACATTTTCTAGGATATATGGTAAGTTTTTATCTATATGACATGATTTATTTTCTTTATTTAGCACATAATGTAGCATCCAATCTACAGTTTTTATGAGCTCATACGGTTTATCATGATTTATTCTTCCAAGTGGTGTTTTGCCTCCTAGATCGAAATTAACTCCTACATGTACTAGGTGGCTCATATCTAGTTTATACTTACTGGTAGGAATGATGCTCTCTCCTATATTGATAACCTTAAAGTTTACTAATTGGCTTAAGTTCTTAAAATACTCCCTTATTTTTGGGTCATCACTTTTTTTGTAATCCTCATTCTCAGTAAGAATAGCAAACTCCAAATCTGAGTATGGCGTCATTTGCTGTAGTGCCATCGAACCAAGTCCTACTATTGCATATTTACAAGGTGAAGGAACTGTTATTTGTTGTTCACTAGCGCTATACAACTTAGCTAAAAACTTTTTCATGTATTTAGTTATATATCCAATGAGTGCTCTTGTGGCATTAACGTAAAACTCTGTATATTTTTCTTTCTCTTGTTGGGTATCAATTTTTACTTGGTGACAACGAGTTTCTATCTGCTCCATATAGAAATCAGTCTTTTTTCGCAATGCTAATAACAGATCTTTATTAGCTTGCGCTTCTTCTTGAACAACCGTCATTTTTTCTTGGTTTCCACCAATTATGGAGTATATCACCTGTTGTATATCGGATAGTTGTTTATATGGATTTACTAAATGTTGTGTTATAAACTCATTTTTGTTCTCTTTTAACTTTTCATCTAGTATAATATTAACATATTGATAAAATATTGCAGCTTCGTTGTAATATTTTAGTTCGCGACTTAAATCTCCTAGCTTGGCGGTTAAATAGCCTAAATCCATAAGAACTATAACTAAATCCTTTAGTTCTTCTTGACTCTCTTTATAAGCTAGTTGCTGGATCAAAGGTTTATAGTGGTTTTCCTCTATTTTGTTTAGTTGAATAATTTTATTAATGTTGCTTTCTTTTGAACTTAATACTTGTTCTACTTTTTCTTTTACTTCTTCTATTGATAGCCTTGCTTCTATTGTTGGTTTTACAACGTAGTCTACAAGGGCTATAGATGAATTTTCATTTATATAAGTTTCTTTAAGCGTAACTTGTTTTTTAAAGAGCTGATAATGTAGATTACCTTCTCCTAAAATTTCTTGTAGAAAAGTAAGCTGTGATATACGTAACTGCTCGGCACCTTGTGGATAAGGTGATGATATGGTAAGGCTTTTCTCGGTTATTCTTTTCACTAGCTCATCAGCAACAATTACGCCACAAGATGTATCATCTGTCATTGTTTGTCTAGCATTAGTAAAAGGACTTGGCAGACTGGTTATTGAGGTTACCTTCAAACCATTTATTTCTATGATTTCCTGCAAAGAGTTATTGAGTATGCTAAAGTTCTTTTTTGACATCTGTCCACCACCATAAGGATTGTGTGTGTATATTATTACTGAAACGTAATCATCTTTTTTATCTAAATCAATTTCTCCAATAAGCCAGTGATTATTAGTTATATTGAAAGGAAACAATATTTTTGCTTTGCAATTTTTTTCAGATAACATTACCGGCATTAATTCACCAAAAACATCTTTACAATCATCTCTCTTCTCAGGAACAGGCTGTTTTGATTTATCAAAAAAAAAATCTAATAAAGGTTTACCAGCACTATCCTTCGATCCCAAGTACAGAACGAAATATGAGTTGTAACCTACTCCAAACTTATTGTTAAGAAGAAATTTATAGTCATTAGAATGTTCATCTTTCTTAAATCCTCCGAGTTTGTACTTGATAATATTGTTAACATAACTATCGATATTTCCTTCGCTGTAATGATATTGGAGATTCACTCTAAAACTTTTAGACATTTTTTCCTAAAAATCAATTTATTTAATAATTACTATGACAAATTAATATATTGGTAGTATTAAATTAGCTATTTATATCAATTTAATTTGACTTTTTGTTAGCGATAATAAATTGTTAGAAAAATAACTAAGTTGTGAATATAAGTTGGTGGTTGCAATAATATCACGCTTCCATTAACAACAAGAAAAACTAACAACAACACGCCTCTATTAACAACAAGAAAAACTAACAACAGCACGCTTCTATCAACAACAAGAATAACTAACAACAAGATATTTCTATTAACAACAAAAAGAACTAACAACAACACTCTTCTATCAACAACAAGAAAAACTAACAACAACACGCTTTTATCAACAACAACAAAAAATAACAACAACACGCTTTTATCAACAACAAGAAAAACTAACAACAACACGCTTTTATCAACAACAAGAAAAACTAACAACAACACCCTTCTATCAACAACAAGAAAAAATAACAAGCTTTGAAAAGGTAAGGATTATTTTTTGTTTAAATTTTAGAGCCTTAAACTAGACTTTATTTAAACACTAATATTGACGAAAATAAAAAAGAATAATTTAAAATTGTTGAAGCTACGTAGATTTGTGAGATCAAAACCACGCACATAAAATGTTCTTAAAACACTTAACAAAAATTTCTCACTTTTTAGTCAAAAAATCGCCAAATATTTGATGTCATTAACTTTGCTTTATTTTGCATTGGATAGTGAAAAACTTTAAACTAGATAAAGTGTTTTATATGCAGAAAACGTTAAAGAGTTAAGCATGGCCTCTGCTTGGCTGTCTTAAGTGGTGTGCATTAGTCGAATTTGTGCTTTGACTTTTTTTATCTTGAATATTTAGAAACGATTCGCATGATAGCCTTAAAAATATCTCAAAATATAAAGCCTATGATACCAAGATCTTATTGTCAGAAAGAAATTAGAAAAAATTTGAAAGGATTCAAGCTGATTTGGATAGAGATGTCATATGGTCGGGAAAGTGGCTAGTTTTATTTAATAATGAAAAATATATAGTGATGCACATGACATTTATACTTATACGTTGTTTTTATTTGTTTCTTATTATTTTATTTATTAAAAGTTTTAACCTGCATAATACTTATATTTAAAATAATTTTTTTGTTTTCTATTTTTATATTTAGGTTAAAGTTGAAATATTTACTGTATTAGGCATCTTATACTTTTGAACTATTAAAAGATAAGAAACGTTAAAAACGAGACTATTCTTAGAGGCAGGTAACATTTTTGATGAAAAAAGAGCTCGTTTGTTGATAAAAACTGGATAGCAAATCATTTTGCACCAAAATACTCCTAAACCTTTAGAAATCCTTACCTATTGATTACTTAGGTAAGGATTTCTAAAATATTGATATATTATATTATTAATATAAATCTGGTCGGAACCCGGATTGACCTAAAAATCACAAAATCCGGCCGGAAATCCAGCCGGAATTTGTGATTTTTAATTTGTGATAAACTAAAAGAATGCATTCTTTTATTGGATATAATATAGTTACATATTTTTTAGCATTAAATGTTATTACATTTAAATATTTACAAAATTTTATCATTTATTATATTATTATAAATTTATTAAACACTCACTATTCAAATAAGGTAAATTAGGAGTTTCATACATGATAAATATAAAAAAAAATCTTTTTTTTTTAAAAAAAGTGATTATCTATAAATATTTTTTAATTTTTTTAATAATATTTTTTAAAAGAATGTCTTTGAAGATAATTCTCTGTTCTTTTGAGTTCCAGCACTCAACTGCAAATTTTAGAGTTTGAAGATCCGTATCCGGAATCAAATTTTTGAGGCCGATGATTTTTTTTTTTTTTTTTACTTTGCATTATTGTGTCCAGATTTAGTTTATGATTACTGCACAAGCCCTTGATACTATCTAAAAAAGATTTTTTGGCTGTTTTTCTTTTTAGCTGCGGCTTAATAATATTATGTCATTTTATTGTTCATCAGGCGAATAAACAAGTTTAGCTTGTTTTGTTGTATAAACATTGATATATCTTCAATAAAAAATAAGGTATGATTGTAATTTTTGCTATGTTTTGAAACGTTGAGAAGTGACTTAAGTGCATTTTTTCCAACTATATCAAGCTTTTGAATTAACATTTTTTTATGTTCACACAGCACAAGACCATACATTTGTCTTGGAACAGCTAAAATTTTATATTACTGGAAAATGGAGTTTGGGTGAGCAAAACGGATTTCTGATTGAATTAAGGTTTAGATTACCTCCCGGAAATAAGATATTAGGTAATTATTGTTTGATATATTAAGTGAGGCAGAAGGAGAACTTTTTGTATCTCATGTAAAACCTAGTTGACTAAGTTTATCATGAAATTTTATTTGTTGGTGGTTGAGAGTTATTGTGCAGTTTTAATTTGCTTTTTTCCGGTGAGCAGGAACTCGGTTTTTTCAGCATTCAATTTTATGCAGTTTTTGTGTGTGTACATATTACATATATTAATAAACTTTTGTAAGCCAGGGAGTGTGGAGCTAAGGAGTACAATGTCATCAGCATATGCTGCAACACCCGCATAGTTTCCATTGATTGATATACCTTCGACCTTTTCGTTTTTTAAGATTTCTAGTAGGTTTTGAGTATAAATGTTATAAAATGAGACGAGAGAATAGACCTTAGTGGCTATTATTATTTAAACCTTTATGCTATATAAGGTTCTGACGCCGCAATCTTCTATCTGATACCAATTTTGCTAATTTTAATTTTTTTGTTTTTTTTAACACTGCTTATATGCTCTATAACATTACTCTGTACTGTAAACTATAAAAAAATAAAATAAATAAAACAAAACAATAATAATAGTTTGTGTATGCGTATGCATACATCGTTTTTTTTATTATTTTTTTTATTTTCTGATTTATTTGCATTTAAAAATAAGAAATACAAAAAGGTGATACAGGTAATATAATAATTACTCTTATGTAACACCGACAAAAGAAGTGTGCAATGGTGATGAACATTGTACTTTTTTAATTTTGATTTGAGCAAAGACAAAGTAGACGAGTAAACAGTATAATTACGTACAGAATTCCATATATTTATAATTCTTTCACAGTAAAAAAATCTTCGTGTATCATTTTTACAACTAAGACGTGAATAAAGTTTTTGTGCATGAAATCTTGTATAGATTATCTTGATAGTAAGAAGGAGAAAATGCAAAAAATCTTGATAGTAAGAAGGAGAAAATGCAAAGAATCTTGATAGTAAGAAGGAGAAAATGCAAAAAACTCAGAAAAAGGTAAATCGACAAGGTCAAATTTTATTCTACGGCATTCAAGGGATTCTAGTATGAAGATATTGAAAAATAATCTTTATAGAGAGTACGACATCTTTTACAGACACTTCTAATAAAGGATTTCTGAACCTTTTTTAACCTTTTTTCACGTATATCTTTTAACAGTTGGGGATTTCCCTCAGAGGTACAAAATTCTATGAAAAAATCGAAAAAATCGAACATAAATTTTATAGGCTTTGATCAGAAGCTTGAAATTGTTACTGATGAAGGATTTTAAAAGTAAGTAGGAACGAGAATGTGCCTTGCTTGCAATAAAAGAATAGTGATTAGAAAATTTCATATTCGAAGATATAATATACCGATAACGATATATATATATAATATATATATATATATATATATATATATATATATATATATATATATATATATATATATATATATATATATATATATATATATATATAGTATATATATATATATATATATATATATATATATATATATATATATATATATATATATATATATATATATATATATATATATATATATATATATATATATATATATATATATATATATATATATATATATATATATACGATAAACTATATCGATATCTTGAATTGAATTAATAGATTCAATAGGTATACAAATGTTCATTGAGTATGAACTTAATGGTAAAGAACTGTTTCCATAACGTAGATAAAAAATTTTTTTGGTTGCTATACTAAGTTACGAAACATTTTGACCATTCTGAAAATTTTTTTAAGGTATTGATGAGTTGTATGCTGTTTCCATCACTGCTTGGTTGATATAACTTGCTGTCATCAGCAAATAACTTAATACTACAATCACCATTTATACATAAAGTTACATCATTTATAAAAGCTAAAAATAAGATGGGTCCCAAAACAGTCCCTTGAGATATTTCACTCTTTCCAAGAATATTTTTTGAATAAGAGTTACCAACGCAGATACATTGAGAAAGATTTGTTAAAAAATTGGCAATCCAGTTTAGCAATTCATACTGGATACTATAACAATGCAGTTTAAACAGTAACTTAGAGTGAGTCACAGAATCAAAGGCTTTCTTAAAGTCTATAAACAATATCAACTATCTTTTTGTTATTAGCAGCAGTGGTCCACTTATTTAAGGTAGTCAACAGTGTACAGGTGGACCTACGCTTTAAATAGTCAAATTGATGAGCAGTAATAAAGTTATTGATTAGTAAATAGTTTGTAATGCATTCTGCAATTATTGACTCCATAACCTTAAAAGTAATGCACGTCATAGAAATAGGTCTATATTTTGTGGTTAATGACGAGTTTCCTTTCTTATAGATCGGGAACACAATGGCGGTTTTCCAGATTAAAGGTATGCCATTTTTTGCTATTGACAATTCAAACAGTATGGAATAAGGAATAGCAATGGCATTTGCGATTGATTTTATGAGTATTGCTGGGTATCCATCAGGTGATTTGGAGGACTTTGATGGAAGATTTTGTAGGAATGAAACTACAGAGCTGTATGGACATTATGGACAGAGCTGTATGAAACAAAAGTTGCTCAATATATTATGTTGAGCAACTTATTGCTCATTTGTGAGTGTTTACACAGAATTCACGGCAGCAATTATACCTAAGTTAATGGCAAGAAGGAGTCTATTGATACTTTTTTATAAAGAAGTATAAG